TGCCAAAGTTGCAGGGAGAACCTCAGAGTGAGCGAGCATCCCAGGATGCAAGACAGACTGGAAAGGAAGAGGTGTCATACCGGAGAGAGAGGGAAGGAAAGAAGTGCTGCTGGTGTCCTACCTTGGGAATGAAATAGCCTTTGATAGTGACATCCATGGTAGTCTCATGAGGCAAGTTCAATGGCAGGATATTAGCAAACCTCTGAATTTCATGTACTACAGCATCCGTGTATGGCATTTTAATTCGATGCTCGGTTCTTGGGGGGTTTGATCCGATCACTTGATCTATCTCTTTCTGGACTTTTTCTGTGAAAAGAGCATATGCATCATACACGCGTTGTTCAAATCCCTCTTTCCCCTGCTAGGAATAATGGGATAAGGAGAACTCGCTTTTTATTCAGCCCTGCTTAGGTTCAGGGCAAGGCGACCTGATGAGTAGAAAGCCACTGATTGCCTAGTTTCCACTTACTCTGAATTTCAGGATATTTCATCATGAGCAGAAGGCCCCAGCGCAAAGTGGTGGCCGTCGTATCCATGCCAGCTGTAAACAGATTTCTCACAACCTCAACTAAGTTTACATCATCAAAAAATGTATTGGCCTTTCCATTTTCCTAGAAAAATAAAGCAATAATGTAATCAGCCAGTTAAATATTCAAGAACGAATTTTTTCATTTTGGAAAACAGAGAAAAAAATTCAGAGACAAATGTCAGGGAGGGATTAAAAGTGCAAAGCAGGAGGAAGATTTGAGGGAACGCCTTCAGGAGTCTGTAATAAGCTTGAAATACTGAATGCTTGGAGTGACCCTGCTGCCCAGAGGAACACACAGTCAAGTCATCTGAAGTAACCTGAAATTCAGGTTAATTTCAGTGTTAACAAGAATATTTTGAAATATAGGAAGTAGTCACTGTGTTAACCCAAGTGATTAAGTCAAGTTTTACATCCCCTAGGCAGACCATATCAAAGAATGTATGCATCCAGTAAAAAAGCTTGAAAGAAAAGAGAGGTGATATGAGGAGGCTGCTGGCATTCAATTACCTCTTGTTGTCTGACAAGAAAAGCATCAATAAAGCTCCTCTGGTCATTTCTGTCCAGGACTTTGAGATACTTTCTGAAAGTATCCTTGATAAAACCGTTGACTTCTTTTAAATTCTCAAGAAAATTTTTTTTGTCCTTCAGGAAGAATCCAAGGATGGGGAACATATTGTACAGCTGTAAGATGCATGGATGCAGAGGAAGAAAAAGCAGCTACTAAGTAGGTGTACCACTATTCAACAGTATATATCAACAAAAACCCCTACAGAAAATACTATACAGCCTTACAATCTTGTCACAAAACACTCTTTACCCACTCTCTTCCCTGCCCAAGTAAGTAAAATTGATAAAATTTATTCTCTCTCTAATATATAAATCACACTAGCTGATGGCCTAGAAATCCCATGTTCATGTGTATGTCTTGGACATAATTTCCTACCTCTCCACTCTTAGATTTCTTATCCCTCTCTCTCCAACTTGGTTGGAGTTGGGTGTCTCAAGAGATGTTTACAATTTAAGAGACAGTTGCAGACAATTCCCCAGTTTTGACATTGATAGGAAATAAAGGGCAACTTCTATCACCTGGGGACACTTTCCTTTTTTGGTATAGCATGTTCTTCAATTCTTCTTCATGAAGTGAAGCTACGCTCGCCCAGACTAAGAGAAACCCATATGCAGTACCAAAGGTCTGTTTCCTGCCACTTCAGGATGCATTTGTCACATACAGATAGATGAATATCAATGATCGGGAGTAGATGCACTGTTATCACTCCGTGTTGTGCATGATTTTGAAGAGAATCATTCAAATATTAATTACCGACACAGATGGACTTCCAAAAAGCTTCATATTTTCACTCATCAGTGACAGAAGTCTTTTGAATGTGGGGTCTTCATAGTCAAACCGCTTTCCAAGCAATATGGATACAATGACATTAGCAATAGCAGAATTCATCAGCTGACTTATCTCAAAGGGCTTCCCTAGCATAGGAAAAGATGATGCAGACAACACAATCAGTTTTTATTGTAATCAATTAAAATATAACAATAGCATGTAGAGCCTCATTGAAGTCTGGGAAATGATAGGCACAGAGATGGCTTCTAAGAATGAAGGGAGATTTTTTAAAAAGGAATGTAGTGATAGGGCAAGAAGTAGTGTTTTAAATGGAAACGGGGTATTTTTGGATTGGATATAAAGAAGGGATTCTTCACAATGGGGATGATGAGGCAGTGGAACAGGATGCCTGGAGAAGCTGTGGTTGCCCCATCAGTGGAGGCACTCAAAGCCAGGCTGGATGGGGGTTCTGAGCAACCTGGTCTAGTGAAAGGTTTCCCTGCATTTCCCAGGGAATTTGCAGTAGATCGGCTTTAAAGGTCCCTTCCAACCCTAGGCACTCTATCATTCTGTGATTCCATTCTAAGTCCTGCTATTGGTAACTAACCTAGTGACAAGTAATCCTGGATGATGCTGGAGAAATGTATATGTGCAGTGTATAGGGTGCTGTACATGGCATAATAAGTCCTTTTCCTCAACTGTATTGTTTTGTATCAAACTCTGTGTTTGACTTCCAGTACTTCAATAAAAGTTTTCATTTACACACCAGGCAATTGCCAGGTAGAGACGACAGACACAACTCATGTGTACTCATCGCAGCACTGCCTTTGGAGAATGATGTATCTCTGACAGAGCTCTGTATCTCTTCTTCCTTGATCCTTGGTATTCCTGAAAAGACTTTCTGAGAAAAGTCAGGTACATGCTATCAAATTAAGAATCTCCCTACCTTTCTGTGACTCAATTACATCTGCCAGGTATCCATACTCTTCTACAACATGATCTTCTATAGCCTTCTTTCCCATCCCAAAGTCTCTTAAGGTTGTAAGAGTAAATCTTCGCATCACTTTCCAGTTTTCTCCACGAGCAAATACAAGTCCTGAAATGGAAAATTAAAACACATATGTAAGAATTTAAGCAAAGAATCTTCATCTATACTGTGGTGCTTTCACACTGATGGACTGCTGAGGTTCATCACACTTCTCTTTCACCTGCACCTCTTGAAAAGGACGGGGGCAGAAAATATGAGAACAGCCCACTCACCTTTTCCTTTTCCTGTTTTTTCTACGATTGGTATTATAGGCCTCCCAGCAAATGCATCTGCATGATTCACCAAAGCTTCCTTCACTGTGTCGTATCCTGACAGCACCACCACTTTCCTCAGTCCCAGCTGAACTGTGAAGACTGGGCCATACGTTTCAGAAAGCTAGTAGAATGAAAAGAAAGAGGAAGAGGAAGATGTTTGGCAAAGCAAAAAATACTTGTTATTCAGCAGGCTCAATGTTCTTATTCCCACACGGCATTGGCTTTGCATTTGTTGTCCAAAATGTTGAGAATTTATGATGCAAGTGTTGGAGCTGCTATGAATTAAAAGAATCACAATAGGATCTGTAATCCTTAATTGGGTATTTGAATAAAAGATTTTCAGTGGGCCTAATTGTGTCTACTACACTGATTCTGTCACTCGTTGGAAATGCATAGCTAATCAAAATGAGATTGATTTCCAAGCTGGTAATACATCAGGGCACAAGACCTGCCAGAAACCCTTAGGTTTGCTGTTCATGGCTTTGATGAAGAGTTTGGGAAGGGATGCCCAAAATCCTAAAATATCTGACTGATATACACTATTTTCAACCAAAGCCCTGAGTTTCCTGCTTCAGGTATGAAAAAATAAGCAGTGAGGTTTTTTCCTACTTTGCTCTGGGAAACCAGAATGTTTTCTCCATCAAGAGAGAGATCAAGAATTTGTTTGCTGCCAGTTTCCCGATGACTGAGTCCAGCAAACAGCTTTCAAAAAGCTCTGGTCTCCTCCTGAATTGTTTCAGCAGTCCTGATGAAGTTTCTTTAGTAATAAGAGATCCAGGACTCCTCTCTTGTTACCCTTGCCTGAAGAGTGCTAACATTTCCTCTCTTCCACAGAAGTAGGTCAGTTCTCTCGATAACGTGTTTGGAAGCCAATTCTTCTGCACTACACAATATCATGTAGCAGGAACAGAAGTCACTGCAAAGAATAATACTGTTGGGTTTGCAATTTCCATGCCTTGAGATCTCTGTATCCCTTTCAAGAGGTCAGTGACGGTCTTAGAGTGAGAGCTCTAAGGAAAGGAACAACAGAAGTTACCTGTAGCATTGTCTGGCCGAGTTTCTTTAGGTCCATCATGTGCAGATTTCCAATGACGGGTAAAGGCTGTGGTCCTGGGGGGAATTTCACTTGGCTCCTCCAGAAATGTTGTGTTTTCAAAATCAGCAGGAGAATTAGGATTAAGAGTAAACCCACAGGAACAAGGCTGGCCCAATCCATTGCCTTTCAGCAAAACCTTAACGGAAGAGATGATAATTCAAGCAAGCTCCTACCTGAAGTTGTTTCAAGCAATTTTGGCACTACTGCACCAAGAGGTGCAGAAGTTGAGGGATGAGCTTCAGTTCTCAGAAGTGTCAGCAGTGACAACTCTCCCGCAATTTTACCCTCATAAAATACCTACTGGGCAGTACCAAAATGCACTAACTTCACGCTCTCCTGGTCACCTGTTTAATGAGTTATGTGTCAGTTAGAGTTTTACATTGGTAGAGATGTCTGGGGGCATAAATGTAGCAAAGGGCAACTCAAATTCTGCCTTGGACTTTGAGACTGAAACCAGTAGAACATACTAGAGACACTGAAAACTAGAGAAGTGTGTCTGCCAATGAGATGCAAGGGTCATTCCTTTCATTTAAATGCTCTGTTCTTAGGCATTGCTGTCTCATCATATTCTTTACAACTTCCAAACTTTCCTCAGGCAGCTTAACCCAAGGATCTTTACTTCTTATCATCATAAAATTACATTCACAACTTCTAATACATCCACTAGTTCTTGTTCTCACTCCAATTTTCCTTCTTTGTCTCCAGACTCATTCCACTTCCTTCACCCCTCTTCTTATCTATTTCTGTCCCTCCTCAGGTAGGTTAGACACCTACATCCTTCTTGTCACTGCTGAGGTCAATGAGCTCAGTTCTTGGAGGCCTTTACTTTGACGCTATCTGATCAGCATTTGTCCAGCCTGATGTCGATAGCCAAGGACGAGATAAGACTTCAAAGCGAGGGACCAAACCTTCAGGTCTTTGAATAGACAGAAATCTCTTAGTCTCAATATCCAGTTTTGGTGTGTGTTCTGTAGCTCAGTGAATGGTGCATCCACTGCAGTAAAGCAAAGGTACTTGGGTTTCTAAGCTCAAGAGAGCCACAGCAAACTTTCTTTTAGAGGTAGGGGGAGGAAGAAATTCAGACTTCAGCTGTGTTACTTACTTTTGTCATGCGACAGTTTCAAGAAGAATGACAGAGAGAAGAGCTTGTAGGATTATCTCTGGGTTGAAAGCCATGCCTGGGGGATATGGTTACTGAAGAAAGATGGCTGAAGCACAGTCAGTGTCTCAGTGTCCTGATGTGGATCAGTGACATGTGTTGTCCTTCAGGGTTCAGTACTGGGACTGGTGCTCCTCAATATCTTCATCAGTGACATCAATAGTGAGATAGAGTGCACTTTCAGCAGTTTGTGGATGATATCAAACTGTGTGGTGCAGTCAGCACACATGTGGGATGGGGTGCCATCCAGAGAGATCTATATAGGTTAAGCAGTGGGCCCAGGTGAACCTCATGAGGTTCAACTATACCAAGTGCAAGGACTACACCTGGGTCCCATCAACCTCCACTAGCAGTACAAGCTTTGGGATGAATAGATAGAGAACAATCCCACTGAAAATGACTTGGGGGCATTGGTGGTTGGCAGCTGGACATGAGCCAGTGATGTGCCCTTGGGGCCCAGAAAACCAACCGTATCCTGGGCTGCATCAAAACAAACATGGCCAGCAGGGCAAGGGAGCTGATCTGCAGTGAAACATTTGTACATGTAGCCCAGCAGTGTCATGCATTCCCTCTACCTGGAGACACCCAAGGCCAGGCTGCATGGGACCTGATGGAGCTGTGGGTGTCCTTGTTTGCTGCAGGGGAGTGGGACTAGATGGCCTTTCAGGGTCCCTTCCCATTCCAATGATGCCGTGATTATATAAACATGGCTGGGAGCATGGAAGAGGATCTAGAACAAGCCTGCTCTCTCACTGTTTGCCCTGAGTCTGCTGCCACTTGGGTCACTGGAGTAAAGGCCAGGTCATTTAGTCTTCTTGGATGATGTCCCAGAAAATGTTTAAAGTTTATGTTCAACTGCGTGCTAAATGGTGTGTTACTTCTGTACCTCTGCAAAGCAGGTAAAAAGGCACTGTGAGCCTCATTCCTTCCAGACACAGATAAGATTTAATTATTAACAAGGGACAATACTGACTCTTAGGTTATGAAAAGAAATGGTGATTCTGAGTTTTTTACTTACAGATGGTCAAGGGTTATATCTGTGCAGAATTTCAAAACATGTACAGCATTTCCCTGCATGTACAAGACTTGCCAGGCTATTGGAAGGATGCTGTGGGACTGGAGGTGTCTCTAGAAATGCAATGGGAGAAGGAAATAAAACCCCAAACTCCACTGTTCTTGCCTGCTCAGCCCTGCTGGTTCCTTCCAGTAGGTCTCTGGCTCCTGCAGTGCCAGCAGGTGGTGAGTGAGCTGAGTAGTGTGGGTTTATTACAGATAAGGGTGATGGGCTATGAATAGCTTTTTCCTGCAGGATACATCCTCCCACTCATAACTGCGACATCAAGTTCAACGCAGGTGACCTTTATCGATATTGTTGATGTTTTGCCCTGCTTCCTCCATGCTAATGAAAGTTTGTTGGTTCTTTTTCCATCATCTTGATGTTTTCAGGGTTTAGGGGAACACTTATCCTAAATAGTTACCACCTCACTGCATCAAAATATATATTTAATAACATTATAAGCCATCTTACACAGTTTCCTAGGCTAACCTAGGCTTCTAGGGTTCTTCTTTGTCTAAAAGAAACAAGGACTTTCCAGAAAACAACAGCTGGGTTAGGTGGAATAAATTTCCATGTAGAACGGCCCATCTCTCTGATCTAGTTTTTGAGGGAGCCTGAAGAGGTAATCCCTCATCTGACAACAGAGGTTATGAAAGAGCAGGTTAGTGCCTGGTTTGCTACAGAAAGATTGTGAGAACTGGACAACAAAAGCATAAAGTTTATTTTTTTTCCATTTGTTTCAATGAGCAAAACATAACTCCTGTGGGGACCATTCTGGGGGATTTCCTCACAGTAAGTAGTTATTACTCACTGAGGCATTTCTTTGCAGTCAGCTCTCAGTGCAATTAACTCATGGGTACATGTGAATAAATGAGCTCCTGAATTCTCGGATAGGAATTTAGCTATACCTAGTATCTTTATAAAGTTTTCTGAGGAAAAAATACACGAGCAGAATAGGAATAATCTTCTGTGCTATTTTGCATTACAATCTTCCCCTTCAATCTGATAACTAAGCCCTTGTCAGCATGGGTTCATCGGGGGAAAGTCCTGACTTGGAAATTTCATTTCCTTCTACGATAAGCTCACCTGTTTGGTTGATGGAGGGAAGGTTGGAGTCAGAATCTTTATAGATTTTAGTGATCCTCATTCCAAAAGAACAAACATGTTGGGAAGATCAAATTGGTTCTCCTGAGCCTGACATAATGATATTTTATGCTAAAATCAAACTTTTTTTAAAATATTACAGAAATATAGCTACCTACAGCTCCTTCTGGAAGATATTGGTGGTTAGAAAAATTTTGGGGTGTTGGTTTTTAGCACTGGAAACAGAAAAGAGCATCATAAGGACATACATATGTTTTTCTACATGATAGCTTCAATTCTGCTGTGCTCATTATAGTTGTTGGAATTAATTTCATGCAGCTTCTCTTCTTCTGGAACCTGTCATGGAAATCAAAGAACAGTTCAGTTGATGAGATAAAGATATCAGGAGACTGAAGCATACTGAGAAGGTAATTCTGCTTGCACATATTGTGTGTCTGTTTATACACTGTGAGGAATTTACTGACACTAAAGGACCTTCAAGTGAGCAGACTAATTACTATTGCCAGTCAACACAAGCTGTGAGTTAATTCTTCATCCTTGATTTAAAACTTTCATTCTCCTGTCAGTTTCTGTCACTTTTATATGACAGGGCTATTCAGATTATTCAGACCTTGCTGAAAACCAGTGCTTGTTGCTTTTCCAATGTCAAACAGCATATAGCTGCCATTAACATTTTTTTATTTTTTTTCTCTTTCCCAAGTATCATATCTAAAGCTGATCATAGAATCACGGAGTCACAGGATCATAGAATCATTGAATGGCTTGGGTTGGAACAGACCTCAAAGATCATCCAGTTCCAGCCCTCTGCTATGGGCAGGGTTGCCTACCAGTAGACCAAGCACCAGCTCAGACTGCCCAGGGCCCCATCCAGCTGGCCTTGAGCACCTCCAGGGATGGGGCATCCACTGATGTTTTGTTTCATAACTTCCCATTGAACTGCAAGCATTCTATAACTAAAAGACAAATTGTTTGGTTTGTACTGGAGTTTAATTCATTAAAAAATTAATAAAATCTCTTTGTCAGTTAACAACATTTTATTTATGTGTATTGTATATAAGATATAGAACTTTATCTTTGAGGTAGGCGATTAAAAATCTACATTACCAGTGTGGAATGAGCAGACTCCTAAGTTTTTAATTAGCATAATTCTAATATAGACTCGGAATGATTCAAATGAGCTGCAATCTAGAGTTATCATCTTGTTGAGTGTAAGGGAGCCTAGCAAGGCAACTTCAGATATTCTTGCTTCTAAGCCCTATTGTCTGTGTCATCATACATAAATCAATAATGAGAGGAGCCAGAGCTTCTAAGCCATGACTTTGATGGTCAGATTATTCAAACAAGAAGCACTAAGCACTATGATTCTATGATACAGTAAAGTGCTCTAAATCTCACTTAGCAATACATTCTAATTGATGATAGAAAAGCGGCACTGTTGAGTTAGGAATGCAAATGCTATGTTTAAAGAACAACAAGAAGAGAGTGAGAACTCTCAGGACAAGAGAACAAAGGGAAATGGTTTTAAACAGAAAGAGGGTAGATTTAGACTAGATCTTAGGAAGAAATTCTTTAATGTGAGGGTGGTGATGCACTGGCACAGGTTGCCCAGTGAGGCTGTTGATGCCCCCTCCCTGGAAGCACTCAAGGCCAGGCTGGATGGGGCTGTGAGCAACCTGGGCTATGGGAGGTGCCTACAGCAGGGGGTTGGAATTGGGTGATCTTAAAGGTCCATTCCATCCCAAACCATTACATGATTCTATGATTCTATGAATATAAAAGCAATAGAATCATAGAATCTCCTTTCAGAGAAGCAGCATTTCCTAACATCCAGCCTGAATCTCCCCTGGCACAGCTTGGAGCCATTCCCTCTAGTTCTATCACCAGTTACACGAGAGAAGAGGTCGACCCCCAGCTCACTACAACCTCCCTTCAGGTAGTTATAGAGAGCAGTAAGGTCTGCCCTGAGCCTCCTCTTCTCCAGACTGAACAATCCCAGCTCCTTCAGCTGCTCCTCTTAAGCCCTGTGCTCCAGACCCCAAACCAGCTTTGTTGCCCTTCTTTCAACCCGGTCCAGGACCTCAATGTCTTTCTTGCAGTTGGGGGCCCAGAACTGGACACAGTACTCAAGGTGCGGCCTCACCAGAGCTGAGTACAGGGGGACAATTACTTCCCTGTTCCTGCTGGCAACACTGTTTCTGATACAAGCCAGGATGCCATTGGCCTTCTTCTTCACTTGGGCACACTGCTGGCTCATGTTCTGCTGGCATCAATCAATACCCCCAGGTCCATTTCGTCTACTCAGGAGAGGCCACTCATCCCTAGGTCTGTAGCGTGGCCTGGGGTTGTTGTGGCCAGAGTGTAGGACCTGGCATTTGGTCTTGTTGAACCCCATCCCATGGGCTTCGGCCCAGCGATCCAGCATGTCCCTCTGTAGAGCCTCACTCCCCCAGGCAGATCAACACTTCCAGCCAGCTTGGTGTCATCTGCAAATTTACTGAGGGTGCACTCAATGCCCTCATCCGGGTCATCAACACCTTTTCCCTCATCTACTAGACAGGTCACTAGATCATAGAAGGAGATGAGGTCGGTCAGGCAGGACCTGTGCTTCATGAACCCCTGCTGGCTGGGCCTGATCCCCTGGTTGTCCCACACATGCAGCATGATCTCCCTCAAGACAATTTGCTCTATAACTTTCCCTGGCACTGAGGTCAGGCTAACAAGCCTTCAGTTCCTTGGATCCTCCTTATGACCCTTCTTGTAGATGGGAGTCACACACTGGCAAGTCTCCAGTCTTTTGGGACCTCACCAGTCAACAAGGAGAGTGCTGATAGATGATGGAAATCGGCTCAACTATCACCTCCACCAGTTCCCTCAGCACTCTCAGGTGAATCTCATCCAGCCCCTTGGACTTGTGGCAGTTCAGTTGGACTAGTAGGTTTCTAACTGTGTCCTCCTGAATTGTGGGGGGTTTTGTCTGCTCCGAAGGAGAGATACCAAGTCAGAGAATGGAGTACCCTGAAGATAACTGCTGTGACAGATGTAAAGAAGGCATTCAGAACCTCTGCCTTTTCCTTATCCTCAGTGGTCACATTCCTAGCCTCATCCAGTAAAGAATGGAGATTCCTTTGTGGAAGGGAGGGATGCCATTCAGAGGGACCTCAACAGGCTTGAAAGATGGGTGAATCTAATGCAGTTGAACACTGCAAAGTGAAAGGTTTTGCATTTGGGCCAGAAGAATCCCAGGCATCCATACAGACTGGAAGGAGCGGTCCTTGAGAGCAGCCCTGCAAAGAAGGATTTGGGGGTCCTGATGGATGAAAAACTGAACATGAACCAGCAGTGTGCTCTTGCAGTTCGAAAAGCAAATGATAGCCTGGGATCCATCAAAAGAGGGGTGGCCACCAGGGACAAGGAGGTGATTGTTCCTCTCTACTCTGCTCTTGTGAGCCCCCATCTGGAGTACTGTGTCCAGGTCTGGAGCCCCCAGTACAAAAAAGACAAGGAGCTGTTGGAGAGGGTCCAGAGGAGCCACAAAGATGATCCGAGGGCTGAAGCATCTCCCCTACAAAGACAGGCTGAAGGAGCTGGGCTTGTTCAGCATGGAGAAAAGAAGGCTGCGGGGTGACCT